AGATTATCTGTTTCTCATCACTCGAGACGCGAGAAAACTCCATCAATCGCGAAAAATTAAATGATTGCTCCACTCCTAAAACTTATTCTAAAAATAGACCAAAAAAGTCGTATTAAAGATAACACAAGATCAAGATAACACAAGATCACTTATGTGTGCAGCTTGTAAGAATTTAGTACGTACATATGTGCATAAATTTTTTTTTACAAGTTTAACGGTTAATAAAAAGATTTGAAAAGACCCTTATCGACAATGACATCAATTGTCGATTATAACAAATTCACCTTTTCAATACTTCCATTTTTAACTATTTTCACTCTTTTCATAATATTTCCTTCATCCCATTCTCATGATACTCTAACATTCGATCCAACGATTCCATCCTGCGTGGCATGCCAACAAAACTTTTCTTCCGTAGATTCGTGTACAAGAGCCAGCATGGTTTTTCAAAACTTCAGTGTCGTTCTTTCCGACCCTTCTCGATTTGTTGATGCACTTCAGTGTGCATGCTTAGACTCATTTCAACAAGTTTATGCTCTCTGTTTGTATTGTTTTCAATTGACAAATCAGACTCAAAAGTTTTTGGATTCGAAAAACATACCGCCAACAGTGGATTCTATTAGGTACGCATGTGGGTTTATTAGCACAGTTACACATAATGCTAGCGGATATAATGCTACAGCTACTGCATCAAATTATAAGTTGTATAGCGGAGGTGCGGAAGGACTGTTTTTAATGTTTTTGATAGGAATTTGGATCTTGTATGAAACTTGACTCATTTACTGTATACTAGTTTATTAAACATTGAATAGGTTAGCTTTAAACATTTTTAATTAACTAAGCATTATATAAATATTTTTTATTTATTTATTGATTTTTGTATTTTTGTATTTTTGCTTTATTTTTGTTGCATTTTCTGTAATATAAGCTAAATTTAAAATATTACTAAATTATCATTACAATTTTTGTAAAATTTTATTTGTAATGCTTTTTGTGACCTTTCTAATGGACATTCATTTACAAATTAAAATTTGCTTATCATACCTTGCATTACTCATCCAGATAAAATTATGTTGAATTTTCTCTTATGGGTGTCGTACACGGTACTAAACTCTAATCCATGTTGGAATTATTGACAAATGGAACGGACTTTTGTGTTTTGATTACACTACACTTAAGAATGGGTGGAAAGGTTTTAAAACTGCAGCTCTGATTAAAGTGTTTGATAACCCTTTCCATCAATATTATAAAAAAGTTCTAGGTTTGCAAGTAAACATTGATACCCAGTAATTATTATTAGATTCACAACAAGCAGTATGAGTATTATGCCACAAATTGCTAATGGAATATTTTTTTCCATTTTTGAAATTGTTTTTACACCTTATTTTAGAAATATTCGTTGGTAATGCAAATTCCTAAAAAGGAGGTCATCTAAAAAACCTTGTAGGATTTAGACTATCTTCTAAAAAGGTTGTTAGTCCGAATCATCGTTTTAATGTTACCAATGAACTATTGTGTTATTACACGATATGTTATGTTCGTAAACCAATGAACTATTGTGTTATATACCATAACTGATAATATACTAAATGTTGTGTTAGTAAACAACCGAAATATCACGAATGCCATGAGTGCTTAAAATTATATATAAACCTACCGTACCTCCTTCCATATTATCTACGGATAAAAAGATGAATATTCTGAAGTCGATTAATGATCCCATCCATGTAAATTTTTTTGCAATAATAATTTTAACTAAAAAGTTTAAATCGTTAGTTTTATTTACATGTAATCTTAAAATAGGGTTATATGCAATTTGAAAAGTGGGCAATAAAATTTATAGATACACCACACTTTCAAAGATTGCGTGATATCAAGCAATTAGGAACTGCTTTCTATGTTTTTCCAGGTGCAACTCATAGTCGTTTTGAACACAGTTTGGGTAAGAATAAATTATAATTACTGAAATATTTATTTCACTTAATTACAACATATTTTTTAAATTATGTCGACACGTTATGATGAATTGTTGTAACTAAGTGCTGCGGTTATAGAATATCTTATTCGTTTCGTGTTATAGACGAAAGCATAATGTAATTGTATAAATTATTACAGGAACGGCACACCTTGCTTATACCTTAACCAAAAAACTACAGGAACAACTTCGAAATGAAAAGAGACAGCAGCGAAATGAAGCGAAAAAACGACTACGTCTAAGTGGAAGTGATAATGATAGATATGAAAATTATGATGATGGAAGTGAAAATGATGAAAATGATCTTAGAAATCTTAAATGTGTGACTTTAGCTGCTTTGTGTCATGATCTAGGTATGTTAATTCGGTTACTACATGTTTTAATAACAATTAAGTATATTTATTTATTTTCATAAAGGACATGGACCATATAGTTATCTGTTTTACCGTGACTTGATTGGAAACCGCTTAAAGTAAGTTAAAAATAATATCAAATATACACTTGATTTTATACAAGTATCATGCAAGTTTATGAATAATTCAGGGACGAAAATTGGGACCCTAAGGATGGATCTATAATGATGTTTGAAGATATTATTAAAAATCTCATCAAGTTGGAGTCTATCGAATTGAAAAAGGAGGATGGGGAATTCATCAAAGCGCTTATTAAGGGTGAAACAACGTTATTAGACAAAAGGTAGGATATTGTTTTTTTTTTATAATGGATAATGTAACATTATTTAGAGATGGCAAATATTTTTTATTTCATATTTAAAAAAAATAGGTAATGATTATGATCTGGATATATTTAAATTCAGATTTATCTATTCAGACTTTAGTCATCATCTGTTTTAAATTTGTGAAAAGTTTTAGATCATCTCAACACTTATCCTAATAATAATATATCATTTTATTATAAGTAATAAAAGACCAGAGTACCTATTTGATATTGTCAACAATAAACGTAATTCTATAGATGTTGACAAATTTGATTACCTTGCACGAGACTGTTATTATTCAGGAGTGGAGCAATCATTTAATTTTTCGCGATTGATGGAGTTTTCTCGCGTCTCGAGTGATGAGAAACAGATAATCT